AAGAAAGTCAACTGCTAATCTACAAAGATATTTGCAAACTTGGGAAAATGGAAAAGGTCTCAGAAAATATTCTAGCAAATGTCAAAGGTCTACTGTACAATCACTTTTTTTTTTTTGACATAAAGGAAAGGTCTTATCCTATTTCATAAATAGTTTCCAACATTAAAAAGCCACATGAAAAGGTCAGAGTAAAGGGTATACAATGCACCCAATAATTCAAGTTTGTCTGCCTTTCTTTCTTGACTCCTAAAGCATACTGGCTGTTAGGAATGGTTAATGAAACACAATCCTGGGAGAGGTTTGCTGACTAAAATAAATGCAATGTGAGTCAAAGAGAGTGGTGACTCCTACCAGCCTCTTTAGTCCCCCACTATATACAGCCACTATTGGCAACAAATGGACTGATTTTCAGCAGGTAGTTGCACACTAAGCGAAAAGTCCAAGAAATTAAAATGTTCTAATAACGCTGTTGAAGACTGAGCTGTCTATGATTGGCATACTGTTTTTTACTTCCAGGTAACTACCAACATTCTCAGAACAAATGAGAACAACTATAGACCAAAATGAGAGAGCCAACCACAGGACTATCTGATACTATATATGTCATGTGGGTGTTGTGTCAGCAATTCTCTCTCCCTGAATACAGACTGAAGAGTTTTGTTCAGGTGAGCTGATCCAAATTACCAGTGAAAATTTATTTTTTCTTTAGTGGTTAACCTTGTTTCCCCTAGATTAATAGAAGGACAGCACCCTTCACACCTTCCTATTTAAAATTTAGGCACATGAGGTAAATATGAATTGAAAAATGGACTGTTCTACTTTGAATTTAAAAGCATTTTATTTATTTCAAATATAAAACTTAAATATATCTATATGATGATTTAAAGTCTTAATACATGAGCTGATTCGCTTGAGTGACTTGACTTAGAAATGGAAAAATTAAAAACATGACTATTTCGGGGCAGGGATTAAGTTTTGTTTTTTTTTTTTTTAAATAATAATGGCTCCAAACCACCTTCTTAAATATTGTCTGTAACTCTACAACCCAAGTCTTCAGCTCAATCAGGTTGATTTTTCCTAGTTGACTGCTCAGGTCCATACTGGCCCTAACTCTGTGCCTTTCTTGTACTCTTCCTCAGCCATGCTTATATTTCCTGCCTATCCAAATGATATACAGTCTATAACGTCCAAAAGAAATTCAGCTTCTTAAAGAAGATGTACCTGGGCATTTCAATACTACATGATCTCTTTTAATTATTTCAACACTCGTGATACTCTCATAATTAATCAGCATAATATCTATATACCATAAAACTTAGTTCTTAACTTGTATTGTCATATTATTTTTAGGGTTGTCCATGTGTATTATTCTTTTCTATCCATGAAGACTATAAACTTCTTGAGGACAGGTCATATCTTAAACAGGACATACCCTGAAACAATTATAAAGTGTTTGATCCCCCACTCTTAACTACTATAACCATTTCAAGTTGTTTCAAATGTGTACTCTTGTGCTGCCTAATGGTGAAAGTAATTATTGCATGGTCACGACACAATAATAGGCTTACAAAATGTATGAAAATGAAATAATGGGTTGACCAAATCATTATTTGTTTGAAATCAAAGAAGAACTAAGCTTTTATTGTTAAAAATGAAGAAGCACCACAGACGATAGGAATATAAATCATTTTTGGTGCAATGAATTGTGTAGTTAAAACAAAACAAAAAAATCTTTCTCATGTGAAAGCTGCTTTCCTCTAAGTCAGCAATTTCCTTTTGGGTTTGGGTAATTCTAGTACTGAAAAAAAAATACATAATCACATACTGAAAGACTCTGTGATCAGAGGTACCTATGAAATAAATCACTCACGACAGGTGTTTATCAGTGTAATATATAATGCTCTGAGAAGAATGTGCTAGGGCATATGCTCTCTTACTTCCAAATACATAATCACATACTGAAAGACTCTGTGATCAGAGGTACCTATGAAATAAATCACTCATGACAGGTGTTTATCAGTGTAATATATAATGCTCTGAGAAGAATGTGCTAGGGCATTATGCTCTCTTACTTCT